AACCTAGTTCATTAGTGGGTTGCTAATACCCAGTGGATCGGGGAGACAACGACCCAGGCGAAGTGGGCTCCGTCCACTAGCGGAGTTGTCAAATCCCCCTAAGCCACTTGGGGCATGTGTAACCGACTTACAAGCTAGATTAGGCCAGGTATAACCCCTTTGGCATCCACTGATGACCCCCCTTATCCCCTTAGCAACCTCCGCGCCCATCCCGATGGTGTCCCATGTCCATCTCTGATGCCCCCGGGGCCGGGCACAGCGGGCCCCCAGAGGCCCCCCCCAAACCGAGGCCAACAGAGACTCATCCGCAGGCCTCGAACGCAGGTAGGGCGCCCGGGGTCAAGCAGGGACGACAGGACGGGCACCCACGATCGGGCAGTTGCCTGGTGCTCACGCCCCGGGGCCCAGCCCCACCCTGAAACCTGACGCTGCCAAACACGTGGCAGCACCGCGGAAGATCACAGCAGTAGCTCCAGACCCCAGGCATCTGCGTCCTCTCTCGAGGGCCCCAGCCAGAAACTCGGCGAGAACGCCCGCTGCGAAAGAGAACGGCGACGCCCAGATCTGGAGGAAGGTGCGCGCCCCACCGGAGGCCGGGGAGCCACCAGACCCGACCGAGCAGCGGCAACGGCGGCAGCGCCACGCGGAGCTCGACCATAATCTCGCCATAGGCCACCGCCAGGGCACAAAGGCACCAGGCATCGCGTGGCGCGCGTCGTTCGACCACACGCAAGAGTGTGGGTAAGAGTAACCTTTGGTGCGCGGCTCTTGGGGGGCCGCGGGGGGACCGAACACAGGCGCGCAAGACGCTACTACCGCATCGCGATCTGCGATCGGGGGGCCCCATTGGGCCCGCTCCAAAGGTCACCCTGGCGAAATGTCACTCTTACGTGTCGTCGAGTCGTGGGCACTTGCGAAGCACAGCGGAAGCAGGACCGGGGCAAGCATCGGACCGAAGCAGGTCGGGGGCCTGTGCGATCCAGCGGTTAACTGGAAGATGTGCAGGGGCGCCGCGGCCGCTCCAGAGCGCTCCGGGACGCGCCGAAGCGGTTGCGGAACACAATGGGCCGATGTATCCTCCAGTCCTCATATAACCAGCCTCGCACTTCTCCTTATCCCTAAGATGGGCGAGCAGGGATGTGCCCTCAGAAACTGAAGGAACCCTCAAGATCGGCATCGTGGCGGGGTGATGCCAAACACAGGGATACGGATATGTTTCAAACTGGTAACTATTGGCCCGTCCGAAGAAGGTCGAAGCGCACCCCCAGGAGGGCCTAACCCCAATGGAGGTGTCGCAGCGGCCACGGCTGCCGCGATGGCGCGCGCCCCAACCCAGCCTTTGAGAGTCCCGAGGTGGGCACCGGGGTACACTCTCCAGGGCAACCTGCTCTGGGGCAGGTGCGGCCTCTCCCCCGAGGTGCGGTCCGGAAGGGCAAGCATCGGCGTGATCATACGATCGGGAACTGTTGCCTTAGCGTGTCGCCGCGGCGGCTTGCCCTCGACTACGCACCGCTGCCTGCGCCCTAGCCCCTGGGTACGACCGCAACGCCGACCCGCGTCCACTGCCAGGCCCTGTCAGCGCAGGACGGCCGCCCGGCCACTCCAGTTGAAGTTCTGCGCGCTGTGAGCGCCCCCCGTCCTCTCCCGCCCTCTGCGGCCGCTCTCCTCCTTGGCCTCCCCTCTTGCCGCCGGACGACGAGCGTCGGTCATTGCCTGGCTCACTGGAGCGCGCGTGCGGATTGCCTCTGCCGCGCGGCGACGTAAAAGTGTCACCGCGGCGGCCCTGGCGACGAGCAATGCCCTGCAGGCGGATAGCGCCTTGCTCCGCCTCGCTGGACGGGAAGACGAGGCAATCTCGGGACGTTGACACCTGGAGACTTGGAGAATGGGTAGCGCGTCGCGCGGCCAGAACCAGCGACGCGACACGCTAAGCCAAAGCTACTGAACGTAAACTTGCGGAGGTACGCGCGGACATCTTAGATCGGCGCTGGACTGCCCCCACCCTTCGCACGGAGCGCATCAGGGGAGGCGGCGCCAGGGGGGGTCCAGCGCCAATCCAAGAACTCGCCATCGCTCGGACGTCCATTTCCTGTGCATTGTTCGGTTTCGCGCGTGTGCAGTCGGAGCTCGACCACCAGAAACCTTCGACAAGAAGCCCAACCTTGAGCCCACTGGATGTCCATTGATGTTTGGTATGGGGACGTCACGCTTTCTATCGGAAAACCATCGAGACCCAAGAAACCCAGAGCACCCTGGAGGCAGGCAGGGTGTTCCTCGGCACGGGTTTCCCCGGCATGTCTTCGCAGGATGCTCCAGGATGCTGCCCGAGGGCTCTCGCCGAGGAAAAAGAAGCACGCGCCCCGAGCGATGCCAGGATCGATCCGCGCGGGCCTCCGAGAGCCGAGCCCCGCGGGCGCGACTGCGGGGCCCTACGCCCGGACCCCCGACGTCATGACTTGTTCACAACGTCGACCTTCAGAGGTCTCCACCCCTTCCCCGGGGACCGGCTTTCCATCCTGAATCGTTTTGTTGGCGGTCCCGAGGCCGAACGTATCGAAAAGCCTCCCGTCGCGATGTTTTTCACAACGCGAGGGGGTCTGGGAAGCGGACAGGAAAACTCCCGGCACGAGCGCCTGCACTGCTCGAGAAGGTCCCTCGTCCCTGGGACTCGGCGCGGCGAGCCTGGGGGGGGGTGGGGAACCAGAGGGGGCGTGGACAAGTCTTCTACAGCAGGAGCTCGACCACGAGAAGCCTTCCACAAGAATCCCAACCCTGAGACCCCGTCTATTGATTTTTGGTGTAAGAACGTTACGCTTTCCATATTCCTCTTCATATATCTTTATAAGCCCGGGCGGGGGGACCCCCCCCCGAAAAAATCGGACTCCCGGGATCTCAAGGGGGAACCTCCGCAAAAAGAGCTGAGGCGGATGGGGAAAATGCGCATGGTATGGCAACAATTGGAGGACGGATAACAAATATCATCATTTTAGCGGCGAGGCTGGAAAAGGCAAAAGGAATTATCGCTAACTTGTCGGCTCGACCTTTCTGCCATTCCGCCTGCATACCAAATTTCAAGGACCAAGGTGCATGGCGCGAAGCGCCACTGCAGTCTTGTGTGTATATATAAAAATAAATATATGTATACATCTCTCTCTCT